TCAGGGCTGTTAGATGAGAGATAAGGGAAGATTTTTCAGTCTCTCTGGAAATAGCTGATCAGCACTGTACGTTATCTAGGATGGCTGTAAAATCTTTCACTAGTTGATTTTTAAGGACAGATTAAGTCCTCTAAGTTTATTTACCCAGTTTCCCAATATAGAAAGAACATGGTGCCTTCCTGAGGTTCCTTTTTCCCTGTCTCTGAAGGATCTTTTCTATTGTTTCTTTTACATATATATATATATATATACACATACACACACACATACACACACATGCATATATATGTATTTTTATATATATATACACATACACACACACACACACACATATATATGCATCATTATGCAGGTTTGTTTGTGTGATCTCACAGAATGGTGTCCTTCCTGATTGTATATACTTGTTTTTCCAAATGTCAAAGAACAAGCAAGGGTAGGATCTTTATATAGTAACATTTGCCAAGCTTATTTTTGTCAAATACATTTTACAAAGGCATATGTATGCTTGTTTTCTCCTTGCATATTACTACTTTAAATGTAAACCAAGGTGGATTTATCCTTCTTATTTTACAACACAATTGCAGTACTGATTTTTTTATTATTATTTTTAAGTGGACATTTAGTCTCAGTGTCTTTTTAGTTTGGTTTTGGTAAAGTTCTAGTTGAGGCTTCCTCTGTGAAAGGTTGTCCTGATCAAGCCAAGGGATCAGGCTTTTGACTTAGTGAGGGCTTTATTCGGGGTTACTTTTTGGTCAGTGTTTTAGCATTAAGCAGTTGTGCTGGAGGAAAACCATTCTGTGCATTTCTAATAAGACTTCAATACATTTCTTTTATGTGTAGTTTTGTGACACTCTTCACTGTATTGTCTGCAAGTTCTTTGCTCTTTTTTCTCCCCACCGCAACACACATATTCAGAATTAGCATCAGAATCTTTTTGTGAAACATGCGGAGTCCAGGAGTTTATGATTTTTGTTCTTTTTTATTATTATTATTTGTTAGCTTTGCTGTGAACTGAACTGCCAGTTCAGCAATCTGGTGTTTGCAAAGCAAGGCAAACAGAGCCAGATAGCAATGAAAGGAAGGTTGAAGTTGGTATGGATAGAGTGGGTGGCCACCCATCATCCTGTCCACCTGTTTCCAAACTTATCAGAAATGAAGCATTTCTGTAAATGGATGTGGGAGACAATGATATTTCATAGCTACCTGAAGACTCATTTGCAAAATATAGCAGCGGAGTCTGGGGAAAAGTGATGCATTCGAGAGAACATTCCAGAGAACCTCTGAATACTGAAGCCCTACCACTTCTTCAGGTTTCATTATCTCAAACTTTCTGTGCCATCTGGGGATTTTTGACTTGCTTTACCCTTACTTTCTGTTCTGTCTTTCTCGTCTGGTAGTTGTGCTTTTTTTCCTGGCTTGTGGTTATAAGTAACTGGTTACTTTCAGTATTGAACGCAGGCTTGTGAAACCAAACGAGGGCCCTAGGTGAGAACTTGTTTCTCAGAGTCTTTTAGGCAAGCACTTCACTCTGTGGTGTGTGCTGGAGCCACTCTGGAAGGAAGGAAATACTTACATGAGATTCACAGTCGATACAAGGAGACTTCACCTGAGGCTATCTCCTCCAATGACTTTGTTGTCCAAACGTCTGCAAATCCATTTTGAACCTGCAGAACTCAACAGGGCAAGTCATGTAGATGCTAAGTTATTGTTGCCCTGTCATGGCTGTCAAAGTCATGTGAAACTTTTAAGTTATCAGAATTGTTCATTGAGTCTGGTGGTAAAAGCAAACATAGGCTATGTCTGCAGCCTGCCGGACAGCCACACAATGGAGTTGTTGTACTTTCCGAGCACTTAATGGTAAACTGGGTTGTGAAACTTGCCCTCTCATTTGAGAAAAGGTGGGAAAATACCAGCTTTTTAAAGGACCTTTAGCTGGTTGATGGACAGTGTTGAATGTTCACATATTAATCTTTTTTTCAAGTACAGTTAAAACTAACTAGATATGATGCCTATATTCAAAATAATTTGTCGTTTGGGGATGCAGAAGGAGTTGGAAATGATAATATCCTTCCCACAAAACAAGTGTGTGCATCTCTTGAGAAAGACAACTAAATCCAGGCTCTGGTTACTGCAGCAGAGCATTGCAAAGTGAGATTTCATTTGTATTTTTTTTCAGCAAGTATGAGAGTTCAAGGCATTTTTTCCTGCTGTCTTGCTGATTTCTGGCCTACAGCTAATGCTAGTGGCAAGAACATCTTTTCCACAGACACCTTTACCCGCAAGCCGCAGGGCTTAGTGAAGTAGTATCTCCTCCTGCTGAGCAACGTTTGGCTGCCAAGCAGGGCAGCAGCAGTCAGATAGCGTGGAGGTACTGTGCTAGGAGGACACTGGTGTTTGTTCACCAGATCTCCTTTAATTCTGTACAAACTACAAGGTATTACAGAGGTAAAATGTTGACCGTTTTCCTAGGCTGAGGGGAGGAGTACAGAAATAAAAATGGATGGGAGTCCCATGGTAGTGTAGGCACAGTGAACTCGATACCCTAGCTAGATAACCAGAAAGGTATCTTAAAGCTGCCCTAAGTTTATGCATAGCTTCAAGTAAGAGTTTTTTATGGCTTTTGCTGATAAGGAGTGTAATTACCATTATACACATATTTTAATCATTATATATCCAGACTCTCCCTAGTGTTTTCTTTGGATTCAGGTCTTCCCTCCAAGGGTTCCTGGGCTGTGTACCTCTTAAATCTCCCTGTTACCTTCGGCAAGGGTCTCAAAGACCCGTGGACTGCTTCCCTGTTCCTCCCTGTTAGACAGACCATAAACCTTCTGTCCAGACAGCAGAGACAACCTGTTAATGACTGTCCCGGTGCTTAACTAGGTATCAACACAGTCGTTACAGCGCTGTGATGCCAATGCTCCCTTCTGGCCCAGCAGGAGCCAGTTTGTGGTCTATAAGGAAACCGTGTGCTATTTTATAAAGCAAGACATCTTGTTAATTATAGAAGCATGTAAATAAGAACAGTGCGTGGGACTTAGTAGTGTTTGGTTATGACTGGGCACAAGAGTGTTTCGCTGCTTGAACTGGTAAAGGTTGAGAGAGAATTTGTCCTTAAGTCAGTTCATGAAGAAAACTGTAACAAAATCATGCAAGGCAGTTAGGGATGGTTTTTAGGGGGGTGGAGGACGAAGATACTGGTTTCTAGATTTTAGTCATGCTGAGATGCAGCCCTGGGGGAAAGAGGCTACATAGAAGCTGGACAGTAGCTGGCTAAGATTAAAAGAATTTGAAAATAATAGTAAAAATCAAAACCAACAAAGTATGGAGAAAGAGCAAAATCCTCTTTTTTTTTTTCCAGAGAGGGGAGAGGGAATGAGAAACACTACTTTTGCAGGCTGTTCACTGCTTGAAGAAGTGGGCTTTACACTTATTTATAAATTGCATGACAGAGAGCTTCATGTGACAAGCCAGCAAATCTTTTTACGAGTATACGAAACCTTTCTACCTGTTTTTCCCAAGATACGTTTGCTTGTTTTGTGCTTATTAACCTATACACATAAGCTATTTGTAAAGACATGGGCGTGAGGAGAGGCAGAGGAATGAGGAGAGAGATTTAAACTAAAGTGTAACCCTGGCAGAAGAACAAGTAGATACCAACTGCTCACGAGTAAAATGGGAAGAAAGAGCCCTGTACTTTAAGCCCGGAAGTGGTTTCCAGGGTGCACGTTCAGTTGCTGTTCAGTTCCTGTGTTTTGACAGTTACCTATTAGCTGCACCCCGATAAAACAGAAACAAGCTCTCCAAAACCCCTTTCCATAAATGAAGTGCGTTACTTCTGTTGGGTACAGCTGCTTCAGGTTAGTTGCTTAGTCCACATCTGGATAATGATTAACAGCAGAGATGAAACCTCAGGCACCAGTAACTCGAATGTGGTGTCACGTCCCTTGACCTCCTTGGCTGGCTCTGCTGCTCACGGGGCTCCTGGGGTTGCTGGTGCGAGGCCAAGGGGCAGCGGCAAACTGGCATGGCAGCAGGCCGCAGCTGGGCACGGGCTGGCAATATGTTTCTGTAGTTTTGCTCTGTTATCCTGTAGGTTCCCTCCTTAACAGTCGCTACATTTTAAGGCCACTGTTAGTGGCTTTTTGTCTCTTGCTGTGGTGTTAATTATTCAGCAGATCAGAATCAGTCTATCACTCAGGCTTAACTGCGGATCATAAAACCTATCCGACCAATCTTGCCTTGTAACTGGAAAGCTACCGCCATTGGCAATGACTGGAATTAAGGTATTAAGGGTTTTGTCATGACTGTTACAAAGTTGCATCACGTTTCAGACTCTCTAATTATTCTTCACCCCATATTGCCTCCAGCCCTGACCTCACCAGCTAAACAAGGCCACACGTGGCTAGGACGAGGGAAGCCAACCCAAAACTCAGTGCTTCAGGAAATGGTAGTGAAGGAGTAGGTGAGGAGGCACCCAGGAGTTAATGCTATCCCTGTGTCCCAAACTGGTAAGGGATGCTGCAGCTTGCAGGGTGAGATGTAAATTTGAGCTCCTTCGTTAAAGTTTCAGTAGTACTCCTGGAAAAAGTCGAGATGTTAATTCAGAGCTCCTGCCCAAGTTCAGATTTTAATGGCTATGTTCTCTCTATGTTTCTAATTTCTGTTTTAGGAGAGTCAGATTAGCCTCCTGCGCCTGTCTTAAACTGCTCTTAGAGAGCTGTTGTGAAAGTGTTTGCATTCCAGCAGTGGACATGTTTGTGATAGGCAACAGATTTGTTTGCAGGTGCAATGGTCCATGTGAACATTCTTGCATTTTGAATTCTTTTGAAATCAGGGAGTTATAGTTACATGACAGATTCCAGGTCAAAAATTCAGCGCTGCCCTATGGCTTTTTTTGGCTTGTAATGTGTGCAGAACAAGTTTTTCTGGCCTGAATATAAATATACAGCTTTGCAACATGATCATGTGTAATCACACTTACATATGTTTGTTTTTCATAGGATTCAAGTGCCCTGTATGTTCAAAATTTGTATCTTCTGATGAAATGGATTTACATCTTGTGATGTGCTTGACAAAACCAAGGATAACCTACAATGGTAAGAAAGAAGTAAGCTGATAAGTATTTCTCCATTTTAAAAATTAGCATGATAACAATTCTTTATTAATAAAATAATCTGATAATTAAATCTACTGTTTGTGACTGGACTGAGGAATGCTGTATGATTTTTGCTTATAGTTTCCTTTTTTGAGTAATTTCTAGTTAACTTTTTTTTTAACTACATGGCAATATAATTTACACTGCTAACTCTTACTACAAATATAGAGTTATTCTTATTTGAGTGTGTTCATTTCATTTTTGGACCACAAGATCAGATATTGGTCATTGCAAGTGTGTACTTGCCCCTTATTTGAGAAAGTGACTTGGGTATCTAAATAATTTTTTCCTTCTTGACCTGACACTCAGAGGCTCTAGGAGGAGCATACAGAAAGATATAGTAAAAATAGGAATTGGAAGATGTTACTGAAATTTCAGTGCCTATTTTGACAGAGTTGCCTTGTTATAAATCTTGCAAGTGTTTCCTGAATGAGTTTGTTGCTCACCAGTCATCAGATATGTAATAGAGGAGAAATGAATACAGTCAGAAAGAAGGTGGCACTGGAGCTTCTTTGGAGGTGCATGGTGAAAGGATGCATGGCAGTGGATGCAAGTTGAAACTTCTGATTCAGTATAAGGAAGAACTTGTTCATGAGGGTGGTCATACAGGGGAATGGCAGCACAGGGAGGTTCTGCTGTTCTTGAGGATAATCAGAAATTGCCTGGAGCAACTTAGCCTAAGCTGGCCCTTCTGTGATTAAGGAGCTGGACCAGAAGACCTCCAGATCTCCCTTCTAGCAAATATTATTGTGTAAATAACCCATAGTTTTGTGGACAATATGACTCTCCTGGCTTTCTTGCTATTACGGTATTCAAAACTGGATTTTGCACAGGGACAAGTCCTGGAGGATGGTTGGGCCCACCTTATTCTTTGTTTTGTGAACAATAAGGCATCCTGGCTGTAGGAAGAGCCAAAATAATTTGAAATCATATACATCTAGATGTGAAGTTCTTTTCAAAGCATAGGAATCAAGATAAGTAAATTATTTTTCTTGGTGTTACTACTCGTTTTTAAAAGAGTTGACGTCATCTAACGAAGGGTTGTTATTTGCTTTGGTTTTTGTTTTTAGTTAGGACTGAGCAGTTTCCAATGCATGTTGTAAGAAATCTGAGTACTTGGAGATGTTGTGCATTAGGGAAAAACAGTCTAGATTCCGTCAAGAAAGAAGAAGTGGTTGAGTTTGGGGTGGAGGAGGAAGCTGGCAGAGAAGCTCTTCCAGTAATCGAGCTGCTGGGATATGTGTAAATGAGAAATCAACTGTGTGAAATTCTTTGCCTCTGCTGCTTTCCACGTGTACCTATGTGCACACGTAGATGACTGACTTTTATCAAAGAAACAGCAGTTATCTGTGTTTTTTGGGGTTTTTTTTTGGTATCATAAGAAAGTAATAGTTTTTTTTTTTCTGGATTATTTCTCTTGGCTGGCACGCTGCTGGTTGGAGCCCATTCTTGAGGCATGTTTTTACCTTTGTCCAGTCTCTTGACTTAAAAAGCTTTCATATAAGGGAGCAGAAGTACAAATGTGTCAAATGGCACCTGAAGCCACTCTCCCGATAATCAACAACAGGACAAGAGCAGTTCTGGACAGTGCAATATGAGGTATTCCCTGAGTTCTCTATTTAGAAGTTTACGTGTAGCACAGAGTCTTGGGTGCTCATTCTAGGAAGTGGTTATAAGGCTTGAAAGAAGAAAACTACCAACTTGTGTAAATTGATTTGAGAGACACTTATTTAGAAGTATGGTTTATTCTCATAAACTTGTAATAAAATTGTGCATTGATCCTTTTAACTCTTAGGGTAGTGGATTAAATTTTCAATCCCAGCATGTCAGGTATTAATGTAAGCACTTAATAGAGTAGACCCATCTGAATGCTGCTAGTCTGCCAGTCTTCTGGCACTTTTCTGTACTCGGAAAGGCCAATAAGGTCTCATGCAACTCCACGAGAACTTTTTTTTTTTTTTTTTTTTAATGTTGAGTTGGTGCAGCACAGGGAAACCTTGGATCCCTCTTCAGAGTTGAGTAGCATCAATGGCTACTTTGTGGTATGATTGTGTTCCTTTCAACCAGGCTAATGCAAGAGACTTAATTAGCAGGCTGATGACTTGATTCAATGTTGCTGTGATTACGTGTTGGTTATGAATGACTAGATGTTCAGTACAATTTGCTGTCTGCAGTGCTGGGGAGATCGGTGATGGATTTGCCTTTTTATCACTCAAGTATATATAAGGTGTTGCTTGAGGGGAAAGGAGATCTCATCTCTGACTTTCAATACCTTCTTCCCAAATGGAAGGTCTCTATCTGTTTTCTTCTGGCATCTTGGCCTTAAGCCAGTTACAGTGAACAAGAGCCAAGTAGGCAGTATTTGTTTTGTGTTGGTCCCTGGTTGTTCCCCTATTATCAATAGCAGGAAAAAAATCATTTTTTTTCATTATTTTCTCTCTGAATCTTATGTCGCAAGTTGTTGAAGATGGCCTTATACTTATGGGTGATAAGATGTTTAAAAAGTGCCCAGTTGGAGTGAACTGTGTGGCTATCTCGTTCTGTTCTAGATATGTTTCCGCATAGTGTAAATGTTTGAAGATTAGTTATTTTTCTAGGAAATGTCTGGGAACAAATTTTGCATATTATCATTCTGAGAAAACAAATCCTCATTCTGTTTAGTAAGAGTCTGAAGCATATAGTCTTCCCTGGAAAATTTGATAAGAGTGTTCAGTTGTGATCTGTAGTTTAACAAAAATTAATGAATTCTCACTTACATCCAATCTCTAATTGCTTTCTGAGCTACCTTTGTGCATTACATTTGGCAGGAGGAAGGGTCAGTGAACTGCAAATTCTGGCAGCTGTCTGATTTATATGTGTTTCTGAAAGAGACTGGTCACAAATCTGCCCCCGTTCCATGCTAGAAGCTATGCTGAGTTTCATATAAATAAATTGGTACATTTTATTGGCCTTATTCTTGAGAAATCATGTGACCTGCCTCCAACAGAGGTCTCATTGCTTACTCTATTTGGCACATAAAGAGAGCTCTTTCTTGTTTCTGTAGGACTTTGTTCCAAGTATCTCTTAAACTACTTGTGCTCAGACATGAACCAGTATCTAGTCATTTTGATACAAAAGCTGTTTAGATGAATCAAACTGTGCAAAAACATTGTGTTGTTTCGTGTTACTGTCTTAAATAGACTTGCCTTTTTTTAGCAATTAATAACTCTTTTTCATACTGTTATTTGCTGAGAAGCCAGAATAGGTTCCATGGCCTAGCTAGCACTCATGCCACAGAGTGTTAAAAGGCAGTTTTATGAAGAAAGTGGGTTACTTGCCAGTTGACTGGTTTCTTGGAAAAAAATAACTGCCAAAATGCTATGTACCCATTGTCACTGCTTTTATCTTCTCCAGAGTGTTTAATGAGGCCCCCTGCACCATCTCTTTCACATTTGCTCTGCTAAGTTAAGCACAGAGCCCATGTGGTGACTACTCTACCAAAGAAAGGCAAGGCTTACAAACTAGCTCGTATTTTGGTTAAGCAGAGGCATTTGCTTAAATAACACTAGCGCTTTGGGAACAGCTTGCATTTAACTCCTTGCTATAAAGTTAGTTTGCATAAGTAAGAGCTACTGAGAAACAGATCAGACTTACTCAGACCAGTTTAGGTTTTGAGGTATTGGTGGGGTGGAGGCTAAGTGTTCACTTTCTTTCTAGTCTTGGTGTATTTTTTATTACAAGATGTTTAAAAAAAATGAAAAGGCACAGGGGAGGCAGGGAGGGTTGTGATTTAAGAGAGACTAATTTTAGATGTTTCACAGATGATGAAACTAACTCCTTTTTGGCAAAACCTTGCAGTTGATTCTGTCTGAAGTTAATTCTGCTTTTCCTTTTAATATTTCCTTGTTTCTCAGAACACTTTGTAAGGTGGTGGTGGTGGTAGTGGTGGTGTTATCATTGTTAAGGGGCCTCTCTGCCAGCTGGAGTTAGCAAGCTGGCACTTCTCCAGAAGGGGAAGCCAGTGACCCCGGAGAGCCAATCCTCTCCCTAGACCGGTTGGCTGGCTCGGCAAGCCAGCCCATCCTCTTTTAGAAGTTTTGATTGAATTAGCACATTCCTGTGGAATATTTTGAGTTTCATCAACTCAGCACTTTGTGCTGGAACGTTGTTCTACTGGAAACTTTTTAACCGGCTCTCCTTAATGCTGCTTGCTTACTTTATAACTGCATATAGTTCAAATATGGCCGTGGGTCTGATAATTGGCTGACCGATTAACGTTGACTGAGGTTCGTTTTAAGGGCTAAAGCTTTTGCTAATGTAATTTCAAAGAGAAAATGTCAAGATAGTGCTTGAGCTGTCCAGGCTTTTTACTTATTCAAAGCTACTACTCTGCTGCTATTATTATTAATTATTATGATTATTATTTATTATTATTATTCATTTTTATAACAGCGATCAATGAAATTCATGCCCTACATTCAAAAAGGATAGAGGATCAAATATTGTCAACGGTGATGACATGCATGGCTTTGTATTTAGGGTTTATTCAGCTCTGTTTTGAGTGTTGGATTATTACGTGGCAAGACTGTTATAGGATGAATGTTTAAAATTAAAGTAGAAGACTAACAAAATACACTGGAAGGAAAACAAGAGTGAAACTCAGTGTTCTTTCAATCCAGCAACATACTTTGTTTTTAGGGGCATTTGAATAGAGTGCAGTTAGCCCAATATTCCAGCACTGTCTGGTGGAATTTGAAGTAGCTTGAGTCCTTTTAGTGCAACTGATCGAAACTATAATCTACTCACTATGTTATCAACATCTAAATGAAAATTATAACCTATAATCAGCAGTAGAGATGTGGCATAAGTGACCTAAATTACGATATTTTATAATCATTTTCTTTCACCTGAACTTCTCTATGAAGAAGTGTAAGTGTTCTTGACTTGTGGCTGCTACAAGAT